GAGGGATTATTTGGGACTTGTGACAAAGACTTGGTGTTGACGACATTCCCATCTCTCCCCCTCTCTTCGTCTGATCCCCTCCTCTTCGTCTGTGTATGTCTGGACCTGGCGCCTCTCTCCTGTGTATAGCGCCAGGCTCCTTCACACCTTGTGATGGACATGATGTATGTTTGGTCTGTGTGGCAACATTGATTGGGCTAGTCAGTGGTATTCTAGCACTCTGCTGCGCTGTCTTACACTATGTGAAAGAGGTCAGTTTCGGTCAGGTCAGGATTTGTACCTAAGTCTTCCCTGCACTATCAAGCACCATTTTGTATGTATTGGAATGCACATTGCTGGTTGAGATTCTACTCGCACTGCATTGTCCATTCAGTCATTTTTATCACATTGCGGATCCTCGGTTATTATGTTCATCGCCCATCTGGGCGTGTAACAGTTGGTATCGGAACACCGCACGTGAATCAGGACAACCTGATCTGACACGTGTGCGGGGACTAGGTCGCTGATTAGTCTTGATAGATTGATTAGAGCATACTAGTTAGCCCTTAAAATCACGATTTTGACCTTACTGCCGAAAATTGATTTTTTTTTTTCTTTTCTTGGATTTTGTTTTCTCGTTATTTCTGTTGTGGAAAATCGCAATAGCGCAACATCTGAAATTTCCATTTTCGTTTTTCTTCTGAAAATTCGAAATTTCGTTGTTGAAAATCCAGAATATCCTTCTTTTCAAAAATTTTGATTTCCTGTTGCGTTTCCCGTTATTTGGAAATTCGGAATATTTTTTCCGAAATTTGTTTTTCTGAAAACGGTATGGGAAATCCCTCCTGCGGGTATTATTTTCCAAACTGCGAATACTCTCATCTGAGTAAGTCCGAATATTTGATATCTTTTCGGAATTTTTTTCTCACAGTTCAGGATTCTGTTAGTCAGTTCTATAAATCATTTGCAGTCTGACGCTCGAATTTTTTTTTTTTTCTCTTGTTGATAGTTTCGCACTTCAAGGGAGGTCGGGAGACCTACTGAACTTGATAAACTCGGGATTTTTATTTTTCTCGAAATTTTCTTTTGCAAAGCTCAAACTTCTTTGTTGATTAGTGGCTCCTTATCTGGGCGATTATTATCCCACCCACCCCTCCCCACCCATGTTGTTGTCACCTCTGGTCTTACCTTCTCTCTCGGTCTCCGGGTCCCCCTGCGGCGGCATTGGTAAGTTGCCATGTCAACAGGACACGTCAGCAGGCCATGTCAGCCGGCAGCAGACTATGTCAGCAGCAGGAGTACCACGTCAGCAGGTCCCAGCCTGGTCTATGCTTTTGCGCTCACAAACAGCCGTCATGGACCAGAAGTCCGGGGAAACGGACGAGGCCTATCAGGCCCGGATGCTGCTTCTGATTACTGAAGCTAAGAAACGGTCGGATGCAGCAGCAACCGCAGAAAAGAAGGCAGAGGATGCCGAGAAGGCACGTCTACTGGCAATTGAATAGCAGCGCCAGCACGATGAGGCAGCAGACTGGCAATTAAACAGCAGCGCCAGCACGATGAGGCAGCAGCAAAGGCTGCTGATGAAGAACGAGTTCAACGGCGGGCAAAGATATTTAGCGGAGAGCAAACTTTGCTCACAATGGCAGCGGATTGGTGGGCCGAGGCCGAGAATGGCAAGATGGAGGATAGCGAAAACAAGATCGCTCTACTCCTCTCCCATCTCACGGACCTCCTGGCAACATGCATTACGCAGCAGGAGGATATCCACAGCCTCGACGACGTGCTGACTCAAGTCCACGGCCGCCTTCGGCAGCTGGAGCAGCGACCTGTCGCTGCCCCAACACCTCCGATCGCCTCGAAGCATTGGAGATGGATGTCCTCTCACAGATTGATATAGTTGAAGGACAGTGTACACAAGCGGCAGCTTTAGGCTCCTTTCTCTGAGGGGGCTCGTTTGTTCATCGAAGGCAGCTACTGCTGTGATATTGTCCTTTGTAAGAATGTACCGTAGATGCTGTGGGGTTGCTCAAGTATTTTATGGTTTGATCTTTGTAATAATGTTTAGTAGATGCTGTGGTTGCTTCTAGTATTCTATAGTTCGACTCAATGGTTCTGTTACTCTCTGGTGCAATTGGCTTGATCGGCCTTGATGGCTTTGTGGTAAAGAGGTGATGGCTTTGTGGTAAAGAGGTTCTTCATGAAGACTTCGTGTCTCAAATAGATTCACTGGCGGTGCTTGGTGTTTGATGTAAATCAGTGATGGCATGGGGGCTCTATGAGGACCAGCAAGCCACTGACGATGTCGTAATGTTTCTCAATGTCCAAATCAATATTGATTTTGGATCATTTGGTATCAATTTATGTTACAGGTGTATGTCAATGACATGTTCATTGGTTGGGATCCTGAATTCCGGGTGAAGGTCCGAATTGTGGCGTCACGTGCATATCACTCTCTCTTCATGCACAACATGTAAGTGGAAAGAGTTAATAGTGAAAACCTTGAGGTCAGTTGGTGGATGGATTGTTAACTGTACTTCTATTCACACTAGAATGTCGACCTCAAATGGAAGGTGCTGATGCTGTGTGGACAGCATCATCGCTTTGGGTATGGAGAAGTTAAGTGGTTGCGCTTCGCTCTCCATCCAGAGCGATAGATGTGTAACGTCTGCAAAGCAGATCTTGGAATTGTCTTTCACATCCCCATTTTATGATGTTTGTCAGCATGGGAATTTGTCTGCTTTTTTTTTTTAACAGCAGCTGAAAGGAGCATGGAACGTTCTGAAAAGTGTGTAGGGGAATGGTTCAACTGCCATGGCCTGACTACTTTTTTGTCGATATCTCAGCAAGTGAAAACATAAATGTACATGCAGCAAAGTGAATGGCTGCACACTTTATTTTCGAGCTACTTGCATTTGTTGTTCTGGGAGTGCTTAGTTGTGTTGCGATCAGTTCAGTCTTCCCCTCTCCTGCCTGTGGTTCCTTCGTTCTCTTTCCATTTGCAAAGGGTTGAGTTGTTTAAGTGATAATAATAAAGTGTGCACATGGTCCCGGCTCCCTAGTCTGGCGTTACGCATACACACATGCTTACTCGGGCTTTGGCTGTGACAGACTTGCCTTCTCGTGCCTGCGACCATTCTTGTTAGGCGTTTGTACTTGACGGTCGAGCTAGGATTGAAAGGTTGGTGTGAGTAAAGCTGACCCCTCTCTAGGGTGCAAACATGGCAACAAACACGAAACCTCTTGAAGAGTCCTTAAAAGTCTCGCGGCAGCCAAGGCTGGCTCTAACTGTTTCCTCTTGCTGGAGTGGAGGAGTCTAGCTTGGATGCCTGCCGATGTGATAACTCGATTGGGGTGTTTCCTGTTGTATCCCTTTTGCTCCACCTTAGCCTCTTGTTGAGTGTTGTAGCGAACCTTGTCCCGTAGCAGCCAAACTTTTGGCAAGGCTCTGTTCTTCACCTGGAGCTGGGCTGGCTTGTTACAGACCCTTCAATTCTGTACCATGTGCACCAAATCTCGGTTTCCACCATTTCCTATCAGCTGCGACCAGGTTGTTTCCTTCTTGATTGGTTGGCCGTCGATTGGCGGAGCGCATCTCCTCTTATTCCAGGTGTCCAGAGAGGAGCCTTCCTCAGGAGGAACCATGTCTCTGATGCTCCTCGGTAGGAATGTGGAAAGTTTGATGGGGAAACGGAGAGGGGAATTGTGAAGAGAGAGAACCATACCCTCTTTACTCTGTCCCAGAACCAGGTTGGTGTGGTGAATGTTAGCGGGCAGTTGGTTTGTCTTTGCCTAAGATGTTTGTATACACCGAACGAAGCTCACAATTGTTGGTGTCTGATTGCTTTTCTTCACTCATGAAGCCATTTGTTGACTGTTAGGGACCCATATGCAAGTTATCAGGGAGCAAACTGAAATTTCGGCCCTTGTACTAGGCACATAGGGGATTATTCCTTTTCCTCCATCCTTTATCGGTAGAAAGTCGTTCCGCTTAGGACATGGAAAAGGAAAAATAAGACAGGAGCAAGGAGGATGTGGGCACTGGGAGTAGCCCAGACCGTACACACTTCTTGTATGAAAGCTTCCTAGAAACACTGGCAGCACATAGCATGTTGTTGGCATAAAAGATACCCTAGCAGTTAGTCACGCAAGGTTGATGTATGTGTGCATGTGACCGCAGTCCCAATAGTGTTATTTCGATTCACCTCCGTCATCCAAACAATATGTTGAATATAACATGGTTTTGATTTGCACAGTACATCAATGTAAGTAGGTTTTCTTTTGTAAACGTCAGCGGGCTTGCACTGATTTGTGAACATATTGTTTGGATGACGGAGGTGAATCGAAATAACACTATTGGGACTGCGGTCACATGCACACATACGTCAACCTTGCATGACTAACTGCTAGGGTGTCTTTTATGCCAACAACATGCTATGTGCATCCAGTGTTTCTAGGAAGCTTTCGTACACGGGAAGTGTGTACGGTCTGGGCTACTCCTAGTGCCCACATCCTCCTTGCTCCTGTCTTGCATGCCATGCTGAGCTCTTTCCAGCCCTGTCTGTTGTAGAATTTTCCTCATCCACACTCTTCAAACACAGGCAGTGACATGACCCATTGGGGGTGCAGAGTACTGGAAGGGCATCATCCCTGGGGCATGCAGCACTGTAGCGGATTTTGCAACACCTGCACATCCTTGGCTCCTTCTCAGCCCATTTGAGATGGAATTTTCCCTATCAGCACGAGACTGTGAATGTAGACTATGGTCTGAGATGGAGCTCTGGCAGTCACATGATGCACTGGTGGTGCAGAATTGAGGTCGCCACACCGTGGGTGTGCAACACCGGAACATCGTTGCCTCGTTCCAGTACATCCGACATTGTACTTTCTTATCAGCACCAGACGATTGAACCTATACTGCTCTCTGAGGCAGAGCACACATGCTTACGTGAGCCATCTGAGTAGCAATGGATCCGTACATATGAGCCTAAGCCCTCCTCCTTGCGAGCACGGATTCGAACTGGCGGCTTTGGCCTTGAGAGCCGAGTATCTTAACCACTACAGCCAGAACACGGTGTTCAAAAGTGGAACCATACCGGTCGTGATACCCACCCCTCCCCTGGAAGGCTGTAGTGTCCCTGGGGCGTGTAGTGGCATTTGGATTCACCTCCGTCATCATGTGCCTGCACTGCGTCGATGGCTCGTGTGCGAGTCCATGAGATTGCCTGTTCACTGCTACTGTGCGTCTAATGGGCTGATGCTGTTCAGTTCGTAATTTACTAATGTGGTATGTGATTGTTTTTCCTTCTTTTTTTGGAGCTCCCTTTCATTGTCGGTGAGCAGGCACCTGCCGGAAACCAGGTCCTGTGTCCCTTCACAACCTTGGATACCCACTCATAACCCTTCCCCACATTATGGGCCAGAGAACCTCGACAGCATTGGTTGCTTCCTCTCGGGATTAATTGCTTCCCCTCAGAAGGACTAGTTTTCAGGGTTTCACTAAGCCCACACGTTTGGCAAACCTTCTCCTAGTCATCACCCCGTCTGAAAAAACATTCCAAAAACCGAAAGTTTCCTCGTCTCTATTTCTCAGTTGTCTGTTCCCTGTCATACCCCTGGTCCTTTGTCTATGGCTTTGCCTATACAGTCCTTTGCATTCTCTAGTTGTGGACTGGAGGATCACAGTTTGGGGTGGAGATAGATGCTGACATTGCTGAGTGCATTCCTTCCATCCTCTCAGATCCAGTGTTGTCCGTCAGAACCTGCCCTTTTGCAAGTTCTGTTCCCTGTATCTAATGCGTTGTTGCATTGTCCTCTCAGTTGGTATGTGATAGGATTCCCTTTGATATGAGCATTAGGAAGGTATGGTCTACACAAGTCGGTGGTTGTGTACACCTGATGTCAGTTTCCTTTGTACTTGTCCAGCAGCCCACTAGCTTACAGTGTGTCCCCTCTGTAGGGCAGGGACGGATTTGGTGTATTTCCAACTACCGTGTGGAAGCCATGTTGCCTTCGATAGATTTTTGCACTACTTTCTTCCCCGGAATAGGGTGTGTGCACTGTGTGGTGGTTATCCTGTGTTTGGGGAAACTTCCCGTCCAGATACAGCCTTAATGACTGGACGTTCTATTTGGGCTAAGACGGTAGCTATGCGGACCAGAACCTGCAACTGTGTGGAGTAGATGTGCTGCTTCCACAAGCCACACACATGAACCACTCCTGTCCAGTTCGTAGCCATGCCTGTTCACCACCGGCAGTGCATTTGCATCTTCTATGCGTTTTCCAAAGTGCAGCTGACTAGTTTTCCTCTTGGAGTTCATTGCGATGACGGTAGCATGAACCTTGGAACACACACCGTATATTTTCCTATGTGGACTCACTTAGTTTTCCTCTGTGCTGTCGTTCGGGACATCCGTTAAAATTTTAAAGTTACAGAGAAGATTAGCATGGTCCCTGTGCAAGGATGGCAAGCATAAAACGAGAAATGGTCCAAAAAAATAAAAATAAAAAAATTCCTGAGACGCTGAATGCACATTGAAGGATCGATCTTCTCTTTTCATTTCCTTTGTGGTTGGTGTTTCCTTTTCTTCTTCTTTGCCTCTTCCCCTCCCCTCCCTCCCTTCCCCCCTCTCTTCTCTCGTTCCTCCCTTACCTGTGTGTTCTGCGTCAACTATGGATGGATTTTGGGAAGACCACAGGAACACAGGTCAGAACAAATGCGTTTAAAACTATAAATGCGTTTAATGCAACTCCACATTCAGTGGACAGATGTGTGGGTATTTTTTTCCATCCGTAGGCGACCGACCGCTAGGTGACCAGTAGTCTCCCTGCAGTTGGAAAAGAAATTGGTGGGGGTCCTACCGGGCCCGTCGTGCGCCATCGGCCTCACCGACCGACTTTCAGGAGAGGCTGGGCCCTGGGAAGCTTTGTAGGCTCCACAAAAGTGAGAGCAGAGCAGCACTTCACACCGTTTTGCTGCTCTCACTTTTGCAGAGTGTCACTGTCTAGCCCTGCGTTGGTTCCCCTCTTTACTTCTGTTCTCGAACCCCCCCTCTTAATTTCTGTTCTCAACCCCCCCCAAACACCCCCTGTCAGCCTCCCCAAACACCACCGAAACACACCCTGAGCCTCCTCCA